TATTAATAAGACTAAAGACTTTAACAGGTTCTGCATAACTGATTAAATACTCATGAAGTAATTTCGTTTATAGGAAGTTTATTCAGATGAGACCAAAAACGAGGCACAAAATACTTGCACTACGATTTTTTGCTAGTCAGTACTAAAATACCAAAACTTGCATAGAGACACAACCAGGCTGAAACATATGGCACATACAAAACATCCACTTACATTTGTTTTATTGCTGTTTGAATCACATTTTAATACTTCTTTATTCGGAGAACTCTCGGAAGCGTTTCTAGTTTTAGGAAAGATGGTATTCGCAGAGACAAATTTCGGGCGAATTTGTTTTCTAGAATGTTTAAACTGAATGGTTGACCGTGGCTTCGCTAAACCCAATTTCGCACTGCTAGGTCCTGATATACTTGGTTGTTTTACCAATTGGAAACGTAAAGTCATGAGGTGATTGCAAGGACTGGAATCCGAATTTGTTTGTTGTTGATCTCTAAGAGAAACATACATGGCTTTGCGTAATTCCTGTTCTTCTTTCCAAGAAATCCCTAAAACATTGTCCTAAAAATTAAAAAAAGTTAAATGAAACTCATAAAGAGTCGTGATTTCGAATATCGATTTGGAGGCATTAGATTTCTAAAATGTAGTCCTTCTCAAAATGCACACTCTGATAGAACAGCAAAACGCCGAGAATATCACATTCAAGCGAAATTCTGAAGTTCGTTATCAATTTACGGACTTCAAGACGTTCCAAAGGATACTATCTGAATAAAGATGCAATCAAGATAGACTCTGTTCAGGACGTAGATATAATTTACGATTCATGAGTAACATTATTTTTACGGCAGAATTATCCATGATTTATTCTTTTAGCCATATCTGACAACTTTCCGAGCCACTGAGTCGGATCATAAACAGGTCCATATTTAGCTAGGTGCAATCAACCGGCAATTGTTTACCCGCCATAAAATAACCAGCTTTCCTTCATTTTTGTATTGGTTGCTTGAATCTTTCCATTGATGTTTAGGACTGTAATCGATCACATTATTATTGGCATATGTGTATCCTGTGCGGACTGCATCGATATTGCCTTCAGCCACAAGCATTATAAGCTGAGATAGTAGTGGTCAGCTGACGAGTCCCAAGTAGGATGAAACGCCTGTCCTGAATTTCACTGCTAGCCACCATCATCTCAGCGTATAACTAACTTTCCGCTTCCACCTAACACCGATTTTGCCAGATAATGCTATATAAGGAAATCTCTGAGACCACTTGAGTAAAATGAACCCAATCTAAAGAAGTAAGTGTCTTCAAATAACACTTATGAAATCGGTGTATCGACTATTCTCAACCACATAATGTTAAGATGAAGGCTTTCTCAAAGTATTAGTACCAGACGAGACCACTTTCTGCAGACAAAGGGAGCTGAAAAGAGAGTTATGGCACCTTCGAAACTCAAATAGATAGGAATTCACATGGACAGAGTATAGGTCATAACACTGCAAAATAATACGCTTCAAATTTTTTGGCCGAACCAGGTCACAAACAGTGTAAAATAATTAGTTGGTAAGTCAGTCATAATCGACGTAGAGCCTGGTACAGATGTGCGTTGGTCCAGGTTGTCATATTACATTAGTACAACGATGTGAAAACAACAAGATGAACAGTAAAATAGATCGAAGTAATGTAGCAGTGATAATGAGAAAGATTGAATATTGGGAATGTAGTTCGAAAAGACAAAGTGGAAAGGTATGTATGGAAGAACACTGAGGTTGAAGATCGGAAGATAGAAACTGGATGTACCTGCACCACTATAAACGACTCTGAATCGTATCAACCAGTCGCCAATCACTGATCGTGGTTGATAAGTGAATTCAAACCAAGTAGCTTGCATCAACTAACATGGCTCAGACCAAAAGTCGACGACTTCATATACTAATCCTACTTCCTGGTTCAGCCTCTTCAAGCTTCCTTTCAATCTACTTCTATATCACCGAAAGTGCCTGTTTAACAGGGCGATGTTTAGACATATGTAACGTGTTTAGGCCAACTTGATAATTAAGGATTTACAACCCCAGCAACCGACTTGTCACCTTTGTTTTACCTTCAACATGGATCAATCGGTAGTTTCATGAAAACCAAACAATATTTCGAAGACACTTATAATCAAAAACCTGCATCCTATACATGCTTGCTACTTATGTTCATGTTCCACAGTGATAATTTAGTACACAGAGGACTGCTGAGCAATACTCTCGTTTCTTGGTTTGCAGACAAACATTTTGCCTACATCACAAGTGACGAAAGTTGACAAAGCCCAGTCAAGCTTTCTGAATTTGTTCCGAGATTTTGTCAGATCCCAACCCACATAAACTGATGGGACTTTAAAAATAAGTGACGTGGTCAATGCACTTAACTACTTTAGGAGTCAATGCAGAACACTTCAACAGCAGGATTTCGCGTTTTGAGGAGGAAAATGTACTCTGATCATGTTTGTAATATTGCTTAGTGCGATCAAAAGACCCGGCAACTTTCAAGAACTATTACTTTCTCCTGTAGATTTGTAGTTTATCACTCACGAACTAAACAAATGGATATTTCAAGCAACATTTCAACTAACATACAACCAACTAACAGCATGTCTACATATCCTGAATACGTCATCATTTCTAGATCTCGATAATATATAGATTAAAGTGTGGTCCATGCAGGACTGAGTTAGAGTACGCTGATTGTGCATTTCTTACCCAGTCAGCTCTGGCGGATACTTGCAGAAGACTCTAGAATCTTGTGTAAAAATTGTAAATATACTAACGTTCTTCTTATTGTGGTTCGTACCCCCACTCGACCTCGTCTATTTGGAATATAATTACGTCCCTGTTCAACCGTGTTCTGATTTGGAAACTTGTCAATTGAAGTAAAGTGTCTACAGAATGCTAAGTAATAAGAGTAGATGGGTTGTTATAAGAGAGAACATAACACTCGTTAATACTAAAAAATTGTCTCATAATTCTAAGAAAGTCCTTATTTTGTTGAGAAAATCATACAAACCGTGATGAACGATTCTGGAATTTGGTTAACTGGCCACTCATGTAGTTTAGTTAATAGGATACATAAGACAAGCTCATTTATCGCTAAACTGAAGGACATGTATTTCTGGATGATATGAAAACATCAAGCAAATGAATTAATAGATGGAAAGTGAGTGAAAAAGGATTTTCTAGACGGAATATATGGCAATATCTTATTCAGGGTTAATCGTAGTGCGTGGGTGTCTGCAACACGAACCGACTTGCGCGGTCGATGGGGATCGGATAAATCCACCAATCTGCCACAAAAAATGGATTAGAATGTTTTAACTCGTGTTGGACACATGAGAGCATTTATGCTTATACGTATGCTTGGAATTCATAGGTTGATTTAATCTGTGTACTTCGGTTGTGCGTGTAACGCATACTTGAACTAACAACAGTAATAATCAAAGAGACGTCCTCTATGCTTACATATGCCATGGAATGAGCAGGTCTTGTACCTATACATTTTTGGTGTATGTGCAATGTGTATTTGGCGAATCAAACATCCTGGCATTTAGTTACCAAATAAAGTATTTATGCATATCTGTATACTATGAAACACAATAGTATCAAACTTGTATGCTTCTAGTGTGCATGTCATGAATATTTGCCAAGTGTGGGTCCAATTTCGCCTTCTCAACAGTCCCAAATCTAACACTGGGTGTTGGTGTTGTGATGGTTATACCCGTGAAACATATATCTTAGCACGGACATGTGTGTCTGTATGAGTTGAAGCAAAGGTTCAGACAGGCCAATAGGCTTCTCCAAGAAGACTTGACCAACCTGAATGAGTGGAATGGGCATCAAACGGAATAAGTCACCAAGACAACGTATGCCCGAAATGTCTAGAACAACGTAACTCATGGTAAGGACAAACTTGTTAGCAAATTATCATTGCATGTAACTGTTAATCCGAATACTCATAGATACATTTAGCTGAGTTGATCACATTGTTATAAACTTACGTCACTGGTTTTTGACAATGCCCTTTTAGGTCGATGAGATCGTTGTTCGAACTGTTGCTCATTACGAGTCATCTGAAATGATGAAAAATGAAGATAATAAAAAATAAAACTGTTGTAGACTCCTGGCAACATGTCCATTATTATATACCACCGAATTCTCAATTTTTCCTTTACATAAGATTAACAATCATTACTATGACCAGAAAATTCCAAACCATCTTCTTACATAATTTAAAATACAAAAGATAACTACAGTACGGAAGGTCAACATAATATGTCGGGACTTGTCTGGTCTTATTACATAATGGAGCATCTCAAATTAACACGGTTTAGAAACGTCATTATCCTTTAATTTGTAGCTAACTAGTAGATATGTTCGGTCTTAAACAATACTGATTTGGTGAGGGTTGATCATAATATCCTGCCTCTCAGATTGGAGTGCAGTCAAGTATAAACCAATAATCCTGCGAGTATTATAATACTTAGTAGGTAGGGTTATCCACTATAATCTAATTGGATCTTACATAACTTTTATTAGTCTCTTTATCGTTAACTGTTACATTTAAGAGTTATTTTCTGAAACATAATGTTTCATAGCAGTTTGGCAATTGTAGGCAGTAAAATTACACCTTAACGTGGCTTCCGTAAGGTTGGACACAGTAGAAATGAAAATATTAGCAACCCATTGGGAATAAACTATTATGTATAATGCTTTACTATGGTAAATTGATGCCATATTTCCAATCAAACGGTGCGAGTTAAAGAACAGCATGTAAATCTGTATATAATAAATGAACTAGATTGTAAAATACTATTATTACGTTCCCTTAAAATAAATAGAAATATGTTCCATTTGTGAATATTTGGATTGGAAAATCTAAGCTTCAAAATCGCCTTCATCATTCTTAGTACAAGCATTCAACATAAATTTCAACCACACATGGAAAATACAACACAAATTCTTATTAAAATGTTGTATTCTGGTATTACAAAATATACATGTTAAAATATTATTACCCATGGGTAACGCAAAACAGAGCAAATATTTTGGAAATAATTGGATCCATAACTGCTACTGAGAAATAGTATATAATCAGAGTGGAATTAGAGATACTACATTATTCCAGATATCTCCAGATTCATCAAACCAAAGAATTTTGAAGTTCATGAAAGGAGATAATTTTAATACATCATTAGATATTTGGATATTAGTCGATTTGACTAGTAGAATTAAATGTTACCAGGTCCTTCAATTTGTCCTGATCATTTACGTCAAGTTGATCCCACCCTTTAAACCATGGACGAAAATCAACGTATGCTAACATAGTTGGTACAGATGGCCCACTGTGGTCCAAACTCTGAAAAACCAGGAAGTTTGAAAGTGAATGGGAATACTTCAACACGTTTTGCATTGTGTTGGTTATAAACTATAGAAAATATGGTAAAACTGAGCAATATATCAAAATTTATGGAGTGTCTAGCATACAATGATATGAAAATAAATAGTTACTTATTATTGGGCAAAGGCTGTTTGGTCTCATGAGCGTCAATCTAGAAATGAACGCAAAAATAAGGAAAATAAAATCATTCTAACCCTTAAACTTGGCAGTAAGTTATGGGAGGTGAACTAATAATGTAATCTACTTATGCTTAGACTCCATTAATAGGAAACAACATCAGAAACAGATCTCTACTGTGAAAAAATTTGTCGGAGCAAAAGTGCAATTATAAATTTCGAACTTAACATGCAGAGACATGATAGATCTTATTCTGGAACATTATTCTAACATAGTTGGATATTCTTACACAGTTTAGACGAGAATTTCAAATAGCTTCTTACAAGACAAGGGGTTTAAAAAGGAACAATGGCAATAAAGTCTGTACTAAGGGATATAGCTGATCACTAAGTAAAGTGGAAGCATGTTTCTGAAAATCCTGAAACCTAACAACGGAATTAAAACTCCAATTCTAGCATATCTGTATTATTTCTGAAAAATTGTGAAACATATAACTTTCGCACTCTCGAAATTACCATTCATTGCTAATTAAGCTCACAATCAGATCCAGTCTTGGAAATTTTTTATTGCAGATAGGCTCCAATAATCATCAATATTTACTATAGACATACTGAATGGAAGTGTGCAATCATCCTAAAGTTTTGAAAAAAAAAGTTGTTAGGTAAGCAAATCTCTTTAGTAGCTAATTAGCTCGTATATTTAAAAGCTGTCTAGTTGGATATGATAGATGAATCAATGAGATCTTTTATCTGAGGCAACCTTAGTATGTAAATGTGCGTAAACACCGCTCTGTCAAGTTGCGGTGCAAATGGGATAATATAGCATAGCGGTAAGTCAGTCATAGTCAGCGGAGCCAGAAAATAATTCACTTTAGCTTACTTTTCTACACTAAATCACATACCGAGACGAAATGAAAAGGATCAAATAGAAAAATCCAAATAATAGTGGTGTTAATCAAAAAGTGAGAGGGTCTGCATATTGGAGAAAATGGTGCAAAAAAAAGATGTATTGGAGGAATAAAACGCATGAAATAGTATTGAGGCTCAAGGCTTGGAGTAAGAAAAGTGTGAATAGATCTGCGATCATGTAAGTGACTCGATTAACGTCTCCAACCACTGATCATGATTATAACCCGGACCCTAAAATGGTCGTATTGTAAGCTATTATGATACTGATATGTAGTGTACGAATTTCTAGAGTCAGACAAAATTAAATAATGGTAGTCCCACCTTGAAGATTCAGTTATGTCTCAAACGTGGAGAAACCTTAGACAGGAAGTTACTTAGTTACATTATTTACACTCGTTTAGACGTGGAACTGAGTTTATTATAGGAAGGATGGATACAGTCAATACTACCTTGTGCATGTAAATGTAATTTCTAACAAAACTTGAAGAGCTTAGATAAGTTTAAGCCAGTGATGCTAAAAAATATTCGAGGTGTTATGAACAATCTATAATTCGAAAGTGAAGAATATATTTTAATTTAATGGTTAATTAGTAGCAGGGTCGTTGAATAACCTGAAGGTTCTAGGTTTGATTTCGTAAAGGTACTAGTTCGTAAATTTTATAGTGGACTTGATGACGACTGTCAGGATTTTTAGCTTGTTTTGATATGCGACCACCACAGAGATTATTCATCTTGATAGTTTACATGAGGTAAATTGTTATCCTGTGACCACCGGTCAATATCGCATGCTCAGTTACCAATTAGGGTCCTGATTCTAAGTTGATCTGCTATCTATTCTACAACTTAGTGTCTCTGACTTATTACACGTCTGACCAGCACTACTGACAGTGAGCCAGGAGTCAGGTTCCTATTGCTCTAGCACTGGCTAGCTCTCCTCTACCACTATCCTCGAATTCGGAAGTAGCAACCCACCTCTACTGCATTAGCATTTTAAACAGACATAATTTATAGAGATATACCAGAATGCAACATCATAAGATGGAAAACAACAATTACACATAAACAAGCAGAGATTGAATATGATTAAAGAAACTAAGTAATAGGCTAGCAATAAATTAGGTTGGCAAAGTCGTATAAAAATATTTAATGGGTTTAACGAAAAGAAATCATTTGTAGTAATTTAGCTACCCAGTAATTATGTAAAACTATGAATAACGATAATTTGAAAGGAAAATTTCGACCTCTACAATATTCATTCCGTTAAAACATAAAAAAGTTATTAAATAAAACTTCTGAATAGAATTCATCTCAACTCACTGAAGTCTTCCTATCCGGTAGGCAAGTTGAAACCGACGGTTCACTCCTTACATCGCTCTCACTAATTATATGACTGTTTTTGCCAGACATTATTTATCTAAACATAGATTAGAAACATTAGGATACAGAGGAAAAGTAACTGAACGTGTTGTGAGACAGGAAATGTAATAGCTGCACTGTAGTAAAGCATTTAAATGACTATTACATCAGTATAAGGAACTGAAACCCTAAGTACGTTTGGGCGAACAAATATGGAGATACATAAGAAAAATGTTGCGAAAATGCCACATAGCTAGGCAACTTTGTTTATTTCTTTAATTGATAGCTTAACTAAAATGTTTGTAAAGAGAACAGAGGACTAGAAACCATATTAAAAGGAAGATCGAAGTTAGGTCCGTATGGACGGACGCTGATAAGGAATACAGGATTTCGTTATCGGTAAAGTTTTTTACTAGTATTATACTTAAACATGCTATAGGTTATTGACTGAAATAAAGCTGCTAATGAGAAATATCTACTAACCTGTCTGTATGCTCAAATCATATTACCACCATAGGCAAATGCTGACATATTTTATGGTCGATGATTTTACATATCTTAGTATCTGTGGTGTTTAACAATAAAATTTTTAAAAGATACGAGTGTAAATATGTCATCAATCAGTTTTAGGTAACTTTTAAGTAGCTTAAGTGAATTGTTTAGAGGCATTTCTCACAAACTAATGTCTACTACTAATAAGTTATGATTTTTTAGTACGTTCTTATATCAACGCATTATCACTTTCTACTGTTTAGTTCTAAATGAAATACAATAAGATAAATACTTTGTACCTGATCAATAAATTAAGTCACAAGACATTGTGTTACACTATATTTGATATTAGCCAACTGAAATCTAACGTTAGGGAAACATTAGATTTATATGCAGTTGCCGATTACTTGTTAATTGGCCATATCTATCTTTTAGAAGAAATCTCCACTTTCTGAGAAATTTTTAATCGAATATTGCAATCGTAAAAACACAACTTCGTGCCAAACAAGTTAATCAAAAACCTTTCTGAACAAGTAAAAATTATTACGATAGGAAAATTTAGATGTTGTTGAAGCTGACAATCACTAGTCGCCAAAACTACCAACTTAAAAAAAGTACAGAATGGTGAATATTCAGATACGTTGAACAAGCTCATTCTAATTATATCTTACAGATATGATTATTATTAAATTAGCTTAGTCATATCAAAGTGAAAATGGTTTAAGAACTTCATTCAGAGTCATTTTACCCCTAATATTATACACTTTCGTTTGACGAAGTTTCCATGTTTTAATTAAATAGCTAAATAATTCTATGGTCGCAGTCAAGTTCCAATATAAAAATGATGACATGGTTTTATAGAATTATTCGTTGATTCCATAAATCACGCTAGTTGACCAGCTGGTGTTTGAAAGTACACTAATTAAATGTCATAATTTAAATACTCTGTATAAATTCACAATCGCTAAATAGTATTTAGACAGCTAAAATTAGAGCAACAACAAATAACACGCTTATGTTCAGAACTGCACTAAATTAATGAATAATTCACAAAAATAAATAGGCTGACTCATTGATTCAATAATATTAAACTTAATAATTTAAGAGAGTAAAACCCTGATAGAAATAAATGTGTGTTGTTAGGACATGAACAACAAATCAACGTTAGTGATTAATAAATAAGTGTCAGAGAATAGAAGTACTCTCTGATCAATATTTCTTTTTTCCATTTGATTACTAAATGACCACTTCATTAGTGAAACTATGTAATTTTTAAATTATAGTAAACGTTTTACATCTGTATATGGATATGTGTGAAGTCAATTAGATTTTCAGTGTAATTAATTTGTTAATATAAATGTTTATTAATTTTCGGAATACTAAATGAAATTTTATTCTTATTGATCAGATATTGTCATGTATTCGTTCAATACTAAATTATTAAGTTTAATTAGAATTACTATGCATCGTTAAAGTGGTAGTCTTTAAAACTTGAACAAGATGAGAACAGTTCATTGAGGTCATCAAAATATCATCATATCTTTACAAAAGATGGACATTCTAAACCATCAAGATTTCATTCACAGTACGTTTGTGACAGAAGTCAATAGTGTAAAGATGGTAAGTCCGGTAAAATAAAAGTTGATTGATAGACATGAAGATTTACTTGGAAAGTTCAACGGTTCTTATCTTTTTTGTAAAATGATGAGTATGATTTTTCAAATTATAATCTTAACTGACCGCCTATTGGTGGTTGAATACATTTCTGAACATCGATTTTCTATCATGTAAATCAGACTTCCGTTAAATAGGTGGAATTGACTTGCTTAAGACAAATATCTGTACTAGGATATACCATTCAAGATGAATATCATGCTAAAAATCCTCCCGATGACATTTCAGTCAAGTTTGCTGCGTGCTCAAAAGTTGTCAGTATCGTGGTTGTCTTCTTTAACAGTACTTAAGTTTTGATTAACGAAGTGGAAAATATGGCCATCTCCAGCTTCTCATACTATCGAAAAGCGTAGTCTCAAAAAAATTCGAATAACCCAGTATGAATTATTTTTCGAGAACATGAAGTGAAGCATTTCGCTGTTGAAAACATACAAAATCGATGCAAATACATACATCAACAGAACAAAGATAGATGGGTAAGGGAAGTTACGTAGCAAGACCTCCAGGAACCCATATGAGTTGTGGTGTACTAACAGATGCTAACCAAACATATGATTTTCAAACAGCATAGTGACATCATAAACTATATTATTCTTTGATCCAGTCTTGGTCACAAGGCAATGTTTAATTTAAAATTCGCTTGAACGACATTTGTAATACATATCTAAACAGTCGAATTTGATATTTAAAGGGACCACTGATTCAAAGATAATCTAAGTTGTGCAAAAGCGATCGATTGATTTTAATATGAACTAGAAGGCGTTTTCAATGAATATAGATCTTTCTTAGGAACGACGACCTAAGAGGTTTGGCGAAAATTTACTAGCATGGAAAGAATAAATTCTTCAAACGTCGAACAAGATTGATTTTATGATAGCACCACAAACCCAACATTCTGTGGTGAAATAAGTATCACCATGGAATCAACGGTAACCTATATTGATATAAGCCGCTAGCCTGAAGTTGATTTTGTCTATCACAACATTCATACAACTATACAGATGCATGAATTTCTAAATTATATTCAAAATGCCAACTGCCCAAGCTAATCGCATACCTGCTCAGCAATATGAAAATAATTCGGAATTCAGAGGTGCACGGTGAATGTTATTCTAAAATACACTAATCTTTAACCGACAACACACAATTTACGTAACTTCCATGTAATCATATATTGAGAGATTATTTATCCAAGATGGAAATATAATTTTAAGGTAACAGATACATGCGACCACTAGATATTTTACTGAGAAATGTTTCCAGAACATCATAGAAGGCAAAAGCGACTGACGATCTTCATTGATGAAGATACGTGGTTAGGTACCTTCATCATATCTTACTAAACGTCTCAACAATAGACAGTTAAAAATGTAGCGATTAATGATAGCAACATCACAAAAAGCATCTAGAGATGATCAACGGGTCAGTGAAATAAAGAGAGATCCGATACGCTTTTTGCCAAAATTTTAAACGCCGCTGGAAAAATATTTATTTTTCGATAATTGCCATAAACTTTAATTCGAAAATGGGTTTGATTGTGTCTTTATAACACACGGTTTTTCATACAATAGTAAAAAAACAGACAAGGTAATGCAACTTAAGCCTTGTACCAGAAACGCTACTAACCCCGGTTGAATAGCCGCGTGAAACTTACAGTAAAATAAGCTGAGTACATTATAATCTCACAAAATACATTACTCATCTAGTATCCAAGGCAACATACAGAACCTATATCCAGCCAAAATCAAACTCCAACGCCATCCACCACGGATATGAGAATTTCGAGCGAACAATTTAACTAGCTGTGATTCGCGATTAAAGACAACAATTATTAGGGAAAACTTATGTGGAAACACCAATAGGATTAAATAATCATATCAGGGTAGCTCAATTTGTAATATCTCTTTTAGATATGATCTTATAACTCAAAAGAATCCAGAGTGCTAACGTACACTGATATTTTGGCTTTAAGACTTTCAGATAAATAACAAAGCACACAAGGCGACCTTGAGAACACAATCTACAACCTTCATTTCAAAATTCGGTCAACTTTCAATATCTTTGTGATAACCTGGAGTAAACATATGGAATTCTTTAGTCTTTTGTCGTAGTGTTACGATACGGTTACAATTTTTTGAGTTCAAGAGAAGTCAATCAGCCATTTGGTTGCGCAAATTTACCTTATCGTTGCACATAACTCATATTTACCTGAAAAGTTGTTTACATGAGCACATACAGTGGATCTTCGTGAAGACAAACGTTTCAAAGTATATCACGGTCATTGGTCTACTCAAACGTCACATAAGATCAGACAGAATAACGGCTGAAGGACTGAATCCAAACACAGAATGATTTGCACAACCCCTCGTGTTCTCTAGATAAATATAGGAAAACCAAGAAGTCTCAAAAGACTTGGAGGATGAATACTTCATTAAAGAGTCAAGAAAAGAGGATTTAAGCAGGTGTCACAACTGCAGTAGGATCAATCTACAAATGACAATCCGAGTTACAGATGCCACTAGTACTCGGAACTTGACAACACCTTAACCAGTAACACCTATAATCGAAATATACCAACCCAGTCAAATAAAAAGAGGTTCGAATATATATTTGTTGAAATATCGATATATAGAGAAATGACTAATCTGAACTTGCTAGTGGTTGTAGGCGTACCCTATCGTGATTTGGTGCGGATGTGTGACCGAGCGCATTCAGCTAGGTGAGTCCATTAAAACTAATGCGATCAGCACCAAATGTCAAAGACGTACAGAGCTACTGATTTCGGGAATTTATTTGCCACTACAAATTACATCGTTCATTCACCTGAAAAACAAATAGATCTCAAAAAAACTGTCGACCAACACCAACGTCAGAATATTCAATACAAACACTACAATTGATTTTTCGATAAGGAACTGAAACTCGGATAAACACCACGACCATAGTAAAGTAAGTACGTGGATCTAAAAACAACTATTCACTCAAGATATCATGGATCCATTTTCTAGATACAATCAGCAACAACCGCCTGTGTCAGAAACCAAGCAAACTTCCATTTGTTGAGCAAATAAGGAAAAACAGATTGAACCGGATAGGACACACATTAACGAAATTAGGAAAGTGCACTGAAAACGAGCACTAAATCCAGATCCTCAAAGAAAATGAAGAAAGAACACATTGCGCTGTAAATTGGAGGCAGATATCAAAAGAAGAGCTCAGAACACAGTTGTCTTTAAATCTTTGGTGGGTGACCTATGCTGCAGGATGTGTAACAGACGTCAGTAAAAATGTGATGCACTTATATGTATAGAGGATCCATCTTTATTGAAGAAAATGTAAGATCCACGAGTTATCCTGCAAGTCGAATATCACAACTAATCCTTGCGTCGTTCATCGGAACATTAAAGCCTTTGATTGAATCGACGATTACGAGTGAAATGTTTGCTTTAAACTAACTTATTTCCCCCTATGTTTAAAGATATTTCTTGTATACTCTAGATTTATGTCATCATAATAGCTCGTATCTAACAGAAAATAAAGTAGTACCTTCAAATATGTTCAATTACGTGAATTACTAACACTGGTAAACGTGGGAGAATAAGTATGCAATATAGTGTTCTGAGACTTCTTTGAGTCTATAATAGCCAACCGTATCGAAACATAAGTTTGAGTGTGATTTATGCAATTATATTCTAACTAATATTCTAATAGTTTCTCTGCCACAAAATGGCGTGCTATACAGCTAAACCGTCACTAACCTTGAAATCGCTGAATTCCTCACTATGATTCTGTCTAACAATCAACAAATGTGCAGAGACATAGTGCTTGAAAAGATTTGGTAGAATTATGGTCTACTACGATATTAGTACTGCTCTAATAATAGACCTAATCCTAAATTTGTAGATTCGTCATGATATAACTGCCTAATCTATAAGATCTTACGTGGAAGTCACACCATCGACTACACCAACTCACTGTATCGTATCAATAACCAATACATGATGAGGAACAAGGTTAGGCTAGAGAAAGAACAATATATTTAATATGAATAGAAGATATAAAGTAACACTGAGATGGACCACGTCTGCATGGACGAGCCATGCCACTCGATCAACTCCAGTCCATTCAATTCATTCTCCGCGCCTTCTCCATTGTTAGGTATTTCCCCGAGTTAAATATTGAATATCTATTTTCTGAGTAGTCTCGTGTTCACAGCTTTGTGGATTGTGTGGCTATTGTCCAATGCCACTACACTACTCTCCCACCAGAATCAACGTGATGTTGGTTCGATACCAAATTGGATGGGATCGTCGCGCGCCGGAGGTTACCAAGGATAATATAGATCCTCCGGGTATTGATAAGCTGAAAGATAAATCAAAAAGAAGGCGGCAGAATCTGGTCGGGAAATACATGTAATAATCTTAAAATATCTGCTTTCATGATTAACACGCTTAAAATGAAAATTTGGTTGAAGATTATTTGAACTATAAAAAATGGGATTACAATAATAATAATAATAATAAAACGATGCGTGTTAATAAATTAACTTATAGGCAGTAATTATTTTGTGTTTAGAAATATTAAAGTAATGAATATTGTAGAAATGTTAATATTGGTATTAGTTTTGGTTTAAACTATGAAATCAAATAACGATTATGCCGGTAAGTTGTCCATATGAGTTGAATTCCAATTGCATCTGTATTAGTAGGCTAACTGAAGAAACAAAAGTATACCGTGGAGAAGAATTCCAACTAGTGTTCCAGTTAGTTTGATACGGTTTATTTAGTTACGGGGAGATTTTCTCAACCTCATTTTTACTTGACCGTGATAGAATTTAGTAATACTACTAATACACATGAACGGTTATCAGAATAAAATTTAAATACATGAGTGATGATTATATGAATTTTGGACAGATAGCTAGGAACAAATCGTTAAACATGAGCGTATTCGTAAGAGACATGCTCTAGACTCAATGTTCTGATCTGTGGCAGACTATTTATTTGTATTTATACTTGCCGGCTGATTGGACATACAAGTTAGTTGCAAGTATGCAGTTTATCATAAGGCGGAACACGATTTAATTGAGATATAGTGGTTACAAGTTATTAAAATCAGTTAGACCTGTGTCATATTACGAAGTGATGTGGTGCTGCAAAATGTATTTAGCTAAATAAGTTTTTACAAGATGATTAATAGTGAGTGATGCTCATGTGATTATCAGGGAGAACATAATTTGTAACCAGGGGGAGTATACTCCCAACTCATGTCTATGATAATGGTTTGAACCTTAGTCAGTGTTGGGGTAAATTCGACATTGATGTTTTCAGTTTTTTTGCAGGAGATTTGCTCGACTGCTTATACTGATTATTTGCATGCATGATTGTGTCGCTAAACCATCAATTAGACTGACAAGGTTTTGAGATATTTACTGAATGAGCAACTGATAGAGAAACATACTGTAATCATCTGAGATGGATGAAGATACCAAGAAAACAACACCATTTAATGGTAATTATAAGTCAATTTGTTGACCGATTTCGTTACTAGTTTCATTAATTTTATCAGTCATATTACGTGATTGTCAAGTTATGACAATGCTTTATGACGATATCCTGAAACTATTAAATTTAACTAGTTATAGTGTTGATTAAGGATTAGTCAGTGGAAAAATAGGTATTGTTGCTTTAGGTGATTCAAAATCATCAGAAATTTATAACGTTAAAGAATCCGAGACGCCTAATTTAATTATAAATTTCAATTCGGAAATATTCGTTTAGTGTTAATTCTAGTAGGCTACGGAGTTTTGATTTTAAACGTTTGTTTAACCAACAGCTACTTGGGGATTTAGTTATTTCACTAGTGCAGTTGATAGTATCTAAATTTTCAATCTTATTATCTGAACTATGTTCGCATTTTAGGCTGCTAATATGATAAACCAATCCATAAACCCAAATACGATTAGCAACAACGACTATGATGGGTTTATTGATAAATGTTAAAGGCGATCCAGATGATTTCTAAATTTATAAGACATGGAGATATAGTGTAACGTATGTATGGGCCAGGTTAACATGCAGGTTGTTGACGTATATGACGATTTAAAAATAATGAACATGACCAGAAAATAATTTTAAAGTTTAGACTGCTTGTGAAACTTCAGGCAGGAATATGATGTGTTATAAACATTCCATAAGAAGTTACTGCATTTAGCCTAGGGACACTTACAAATATATAGCAAAAGGAACCGGAAAACATATACATGTTAAGTAAAAAAAATCATCCAGTAAAATAGTTGAACTCGCCTGGATTATTTTTGAAAATTAGATTATTCAGTGGACGACATATATAACGCCATTCGTGAGGAGTAGTAATGATCCAAAAGCATCCAGAATAAAACATACAGTATGGCAATCACTTCCAGGGTGCTTGATGCTGTTGAGGTTTTTGACACTCGCTCGGATCAGAACAATCGAATGAATCCAGATAATTGTATGGTTGTCATTGAACGAACCATCTAAAAATGATTGCAGAAAACTTATAGCTGAAACTCACCGTATGTTTTTGGAGTAGTCATCCTCGTTGTTTGGCAATGGAACTCGAGAATATGAAATTAGGCAGGCAGTGGTCGGAAGAAAAGATATTACAGGATAGTGCGTAGTTTAAAACAGGATGAGGTGTTAAGTGAAGGAACAGTGAGAATTAGATCCAGATAACTATTTAGTCCTTGATTGGATTGTTAGTCAATGTATATTTACGCTATTTACAGGTCATATTTGCTAGAGCTTGATGTTTAAACAAGACTATGTTGCTGAAGCATGTAAATGCTATTACAGCTTGTTAACAAACCATCAAAGCTAATTAGTTAATATAGACGACCAGTTTTTATTATCGATTGAGCTAGTTTGTCATGAGGACTAATCAATATAACATTACGATAATGCATGTGAGCAATAATCAGAGGACTATTAGAATACAGGGTTAACATAAATATAAAATCGATCGAGCAAGTTGAAGTGGAAATAAGGATTAATAATAATAGGTTGCGTTTTTCTAGTCGGGCTTACCAATGTAGAATTATGGTCTACTACGATATTAGTACTGCTCTAATAATAGACCTAATCCTAAATTTGTAGATTCGTCATGATATAACTGCCTAATCTATAAGATCTTACGTGGAAGTCACACCATCGACTACACCAACTCACTGTATCGTATCAATAACCAATACATGATGAGGAACAAGGTTAGGCTAGAGAAAGAACAATATATTTAATATGAATAGAAGATATAAAGTAACACTGAGATGGACCACGTCTGCATGGACGAGCCATGCCACTCGATCAACTCCAGTCCATTCAATTCATTCTCCGCGCCTTCTCCATTGTTAGGTATTTCCCCGAGTTAAATATTGAATATCTATTTTCTGAGTAGTCTCGTGTTCACAGCTTTGTGGATTGTGTGGCTATTGTCCAATGCCACTACAGATTCACGGAAAACCGTGAATTTAATTCTCGATATGCACGTTTTCTAACAATACAAGAGAAACGACTGAAAATCAAATACTTCGACGCTAGTACAGACAACGACACAACTCAACCAACATCTACTTTATTGAAACAAACCAGTACGTCTTTTTATATCGGCTACGAATATTCTTTGAGTTACTTGGAGTCAATGATAGTAGCCAAACTGCACAATGACACGGTTACTCGATTGTCCGTTGTACCATTTAATAATGACCAATAATCTCGAAAAACTCAAAGTAACCCAATAGGAAGAGCTGACACCTCCTAAAAATGAATTTACTTAATATGCCTGGTAAATGGTTGAAAAATAGAACCGTTTATTCAGTTATGAAGTACTGTGTCATTTTCTGTAGTGTAAGACATCCCTCTTATTAAACATAAAATACGTCGATACTAAAGCTCCTACATTACTGTTAAAGGTTCTCATGGTAAAAAATAACGAACAATACAGTTAAAATTGTTTATAACCCAAATCAAAACGGTTTACTGTCCTTCGTCAGGATTAGCTGAACCTGATGCTTGTCTCATGAGTTTCAATTACTGCCACAATTATTCCTATCAAGATTACTGTTATTATTAATATTGCTGTTCGTTAATCTCTTGTCATGATAAACTTCTCTTGAGGACGACTGTCATGAGTTGGAGGGATTACGAAAGCTAACTACCAGTGGGATTTGAGAATCCCGAGGTCTAACAAAGGTGTAGGGCCAATGAAATGTCACTGAGCACTAGCCAAATCATCCGGCAGTTGGGTCACCGAATATCGAACAGATCATCGATCCATGTCAAAGTCAAGGACAACTGACACGCGTCAGTTAATCGTACGCAATGTACTGGCCTATGCGGTGGTGGTCACACATTCGCCTGTGCCTACTTCAACTTATATATTTCTGTAATAGCATCCTTTGTGTTGTACGGTCTTCAAAGCATCCATAGCCCCTAGATACGACGGAGTAACCCACGTAAGGTGCTAATCGCGAAGTGTGACTTCGACATTAGCTGTTGGTCACACCATTCACGTCTAACTTGAGTAGGCCCCCAATCATTCGACAGAGATCATCAACGTTTATGATCCACAGAGGTCTACATAGATCGAATAGAGAAATAGGACCTCCTTACTTTGTTCTATCGTTTATTCAAAGGTGATCTGATTCAGGTGTATAGAATACTGAGAAATGATGTCGGATCTGATGTATCTTTTCCATTACTTCCCATTAGATCGGGACATATCAAATAACATAACAAGCGAGCTCGAAAGCCAAGGTTGAACAAATATCCGTAGCATACAGTTTTTCTCACCGGGTCACCGACCCTTGGAACCCGTCGCCTTGGGAAGTGGTGTTCGTACATTCAAGTCACTCATTCCATAGAAGAACAGACACACAAGCCTACTAGAAAAGAACTAACACAATACAGATATCCGAGATCTGTATCATCATTTGTACATTTTCTCAAGAAGTAATTTGCCATAAAGAAAGTTGACAAACATTTTGCATTCACATTAAACATACAGAAAATTCAGATAGTTTATGTTCCACAGAACAGTTCAGAAACAATATAATAATAATAACTACTTAAAAATAAAAAGAGTAATCCTTCTCAAAAGTAACAAAAAACAAGATTTATGATGAATTAATGAAACAAATGATCATTTGATTCAGATTAATTAGAAATACTAAATTTTCTTGCTGCATCGATCATCAGAATTTTCTTTACCCATTATGTTGATACAGGTCGACCGGTTGGATCAATAAACAAGTGTCTACACAATGGACAAGCAGGATTTCGACTAGTTGTAAACCATTTGTACATGCAAGCATAATGAAATAGTTTACGACAAGTGTGACATCGCATTTTAGGCAAACTGAAATTTGTGTTGTGCACAATCGAGTAACAAATTGCACATTCTTCAACACCATCGAATTTTTTCCGAACATTACTTTGCCACAAATCAATACCATCTAAAATCGATCCATTCTAAATGACACAAACAACACAGAGAGGTAGAAATACTAATTCAATTCAAGAGATTTAGGTTAAATAATATATCGTTTTATTGTTGATTCACACTCATGGAACTTGTTTAATAAAAGTTCGTTAAATTTGGATGTTCAATACAAATAATAACAACCAGATTTCAGAATACGAATTATGGAATGAGTGTATCTTAGATTATGTTCTATTAAATAAGTCCGACATATAGAAGTGAACATATCACTTTGTAGCGATTATATTATTTGAACGTTTTCTGTTCCACCCAAATTCTGATTATTTTACAAAAGCATGTGCAGAGGGGCCTTTTCTTACGAAATTTCACATACACAGTCCCCCTTATTTTCAAGATAATTAGGGAAACTAGGTGTAAAACCTTTCGAAAACCCATTTAAATATTTTTTCTATGTGGTTTTCAATACTGACACAAGTTCGAAAACTCTGTAGTCCCACTATCGCTCTCATGTTACGAGACCACCGAATGAGATAGGCTTAATTTAGCGTTTAGAGTAAACCATTTGATGCAACTGTGAACCTATATAGATAGAGTGGCTGACACATGTACTATAGATGAACATAAGTTGCGGAAAATTTGCTTAAAGGTCACTACTAAATTGCTAGTCTGAAGTGAATATTTATCCAAGTCACTTCATAGAACTTGAATTTCCCTTTTCTTTCCCTACTTTCATTTTATCCACGAAAATCACTCTTTCCTAACTAGCGCTTTAGTATTCATCAGACAGTTAAGGTTATAGTGTTCGACCAAAGGCAATAAGCTTAAAGATATCTAAATCGAGCTCAAATGTAGGGTTGAGGAATGCTGCTTCCAAGCTGTAATGTCACAATCAACGCTCTGATATATTGGATTAAGAGTAAATGTTAGAACTCGTCGTGTTAACACGATGTAAAGTAGTTCGAAATGTGATGTTTTATTTGTTATGCTTGCATAAGCAGTATTCTACTCACCAGATCATAGTGTTGATTAACATTTTAGACATACCTTACCTATGGAACTAACTAGTGAAAACTTATTACAATTGGAATAATTATCTATCACACCACAAAGGACTTAGGATGAAATTGAAGAAGACACTCCTAATTTCAGATGAAAGCATTAGATTATAGTCTATATTATATATTTAACACTAAATTCAGATAAAATGTGATTAATTTCAAATGCCAATCAGACACAATCAACAATGGTTCACTGGAAAAAAGATTACATCGAAATACACAAAATAAGAATAAACGTCTATCAACTCACATGATTATTAACAAAAACAGACATTTGTAAAAGCCATGACTGCCACTGTTGACTTCCTACACCAACACTACGCCCTTTACTAACAGTAATTGGACTTAAAGGATAGTTGTTTGGCAACTGAATAACCATTTCCATCGAATGATCATCTCCCACGTAATATGTGGCAATAATCTAAATGAATTTGTTTAATAACAACTCAATATTATTTACATAATAAAGCTGAATTGTAACGGTCGAAGTAGAATGAAATGTGTTATATTTGTGCTTGGACACATGATGAGTTTATGTTATTTCTTCAACTATTGACAAAATATACACATAAAGCACTGTGTTGAATGTTCTAAACAGCGATAGAGCTTGTTCAAAGCAGTGAATACTTTAAAATAGTATGTTAAGTACGCATTTTCATCGCAGTCAGTAGTATGACTTACCAAGCTATACAACAGAGAAGTGCTGGGAAAAGGTAGGTACGGAAGTAGTTGGGAGGCGGTCCTGACCCCAAACCAACGACTCACATGGGCTTTAGCATCCTCAGGGAACAAATGTTGCACGGAATTACTCTTGGATCCCGGCAACCATAGGTGTCATATCTGGACGAAGAATAATTCAACGGTAACTGTCAGGACCTATTTATGGATTTTGCGATATATATTCTCATTGTATAATTATTAAGTAACTATGTTACATGTATATTCATTTTCTTATTATAAGCTTCCATTTGACCTATTAGCTACTACTATACGGTTTACTGCACTTAAGTTATTCCCACTTTATTAGTTACAGTCTCTCACACTCGCAGCCACTTTTGACTTGATCTTGTATAATTCCTACTTTCTATTTTATGGGATGATGCGGTCTGACTTGTTTGTGTATAAACTGCGTCTGTTCGAAATACATTATTCATATAGGGGAGGCTGATGTTGAGCAGATTAGTGAATCTCTCCACCTAAAGATAACCTCACAAAACTAAAATTCTGGCTTAGAACGCCTATCTGTTATGATAGTTCTCGGTTCTTCACAGCATCCAGGAATTGGAAAATGGATCAGTGGCCTTGAAACCACATTCGACAAAAATGTCTCGTGTGCAGTGAAGGTCGCAGTAGCCGCAATAAAGTGTATGTTAAAGTTCTCTTCGACGTTTTAGCGCGTTCTTGGCCTATGAGGGATGAATTTCAGTTCAGAGTCTAGCTGAGGCGACCATTCTCGCATACGGGAAACCATATTTGAGACAGAAGGATGGATTAGCTTTCCGCTATGAAATACTTTATTTGGCTCAAAGTGCTCTGATGCGAGCCTTGTTAGATAAGGTTACCTTTAACGTATATCTTTAAATGTCCTTAACTAAGGTCTGCGAATGAACTTCGCATCTAGATTCACGATGACGAAGTGATATATTTAGTGAGGACTGAGTACTGTGCATCATATCTGAAAGGTTTAAAGACACAGTTTGTTCTGGAGGTTATGCCGTTTTTTGGAGGCTGATTGTTGAGTGAAGATTCTTGTCTGTAATCCGGATGGGGTTCGTGACTATCAATGCGAGTATACTGTGCAACATTCTCCTGTGTTGCCATATAGTTGAGACGGCGTTCCAGGGTGGGATATATGGTGCTAGCAGCTGACCTTAAGGTCAGTGTGTATTATTAAGGTTAGGCTTAAAATCCTAGGTTGAAGAGGTAGTTTAATCGGTGGAGTCATTATGCGGTATATCTGAAAACTACTGCGTTTGTCTGTTGATATTTCACTTTTTAGTAGTTCACTCCTTGAGCTGTCGGCAAATGTGGCAACTAAAATACTTCAGCATTTGCAGCATAAAACGATGAGTTCTATTTCACTAGTGCTCCTAGAAAATGTATCCTAGTAACTTCAGGTGGTTTAACTAAATTATACAGTTAATGGAAATGAATAATCTTTATCTGTTCACTTCGTTCGACATTATTTGACCATGTGCTTCATTGAGAATCTCAAGTTAAAAATTTGGTATTAAAGCGAAGGGGGGAAATGAGTAAATCTTGAGGGTCCGCTTAAAAAAATCTCTAAATATAATGGTCCGAAAGTGCCAAATTACCTTGATCATTAGTTTGACTTTCCTATCCATCCTCGATGAATAAGCTGTAACCACAAAGGGTCAAGGCTGAATGATATTTATAGAATTCCAACTGGTTGTTACATTAAGACATGGGGGTAAGTATTCGAATGCTTTGACCACCTAACATACCTTGGAATCTCATCAGTCGTAGTGAATTAGTGTAATCTCGGCACGGATACATGAAGCTCGTTTTGATGTGGCTGACTAACACCTATTGTTCAGGCCAGCTGCTTATCTGTCAGTTAGTCATAAGCAATGTTGAGCCTTGCACGGTTTTGCATCGGTCCCATTTGTCTCACATCAGTTCAGGGAGATAAAATTACCAAAAATCTCCCAGATGAGTAGAATTAGTAATATTATTAGCGGTGATAAAAGATTAAGCATAGGCAGTGTGATTTTAGAAAGAATGAATTTGCCACACAAAAAGCAAAATATCTTTTAGACTCAAGAACTAGAGGGAAAAAGAGCGAATACACTTACGACATTGTTACCTATTCCTAGTCATGTCACACCTCAGGCAGACTGAGGACACGCAACCGTTTCTCTCTATTGTCCTTGTCCAGGATTAGGACTGGACGGGGCTGCTCAATCTCATGATTCCTGTTCAGCTTTGACATGAATAACATTCTAGAAACAGCTCCGATAGAAGTAGGTAGTGGTGGTGTTGATCTATTACTTAGAGAAGCACTGTTTGATCTTCAGTATGACGATGATATTGTCTTACTGTACGATGATAATCAAGCTATGAAAATCGTACATTATCAGTTGACAATCAGTGTCCGTATGTATGGTACATACTTTAGACCTAAATGCAAAGTTCTTTACAAGACTAGTAGAAATATGTGCCTACACTCACTTTGTGGTAATTTGTTTAAAGTAGTCGAAAGAATTCGTGTGTCTGGGTAGCTGAGCAAGTCCTGGTGGTGGCGTGAGTGATAAGATCATATCGTATCATGAAAGCCATAGCAGCTTGTGACAATCTGGGCCATCTTCGGCGCCTTCGTGTTATTAATGTGGTTAAAAAGGCCGGATTTACAATGTGGTGGTGAGAGCAGTTCTGCTCTATACTCGTGAAACCTGGCCTCCGAGTTAAGGACGTCAAACGACTCTGCGTTCGATCGTCATTGTTTCCGAAGGATTGCTGACATCCAGTGGTAACATCATGTTAGCAAGGCGGAGATGCAGCAATATGTGTTCAGTGGTTGTGACGATAATTCGATTGGTGTCGCCATCTGCAAATACCGACTGCGATGACTTGGATATGTGCTACAAATGTTGTCCCAGAGAAATTCACATCGTTCAGTACTTGCCGATGTTGGGACTGGCTGGGTAAAGCGGAAAGGTGGTCAGTGTATGACATGTTGTCGTGGTATGAGAGAAAACTGTACAGGACTGGCATCTGTCCACCCCTCGCGACTCCCTGGTTGGGGTCCTAGAGATAATGGAATACTGGCTTGAGACATTATCAGACATGGTTCGAAATAGAAACCAGTAGCGGTCTTGCATGCATTTATTGATTTCGATCATACATTCTCTCCTTTCTATCCCTTCACAATTCCATTTACTTATTTATGTGGAGTATATTTATTCAGGTTTCCACTTGTACCAGTATCTATGTACTTCAATAAATAAATAAAACTTCAAAATCACTATAACAAGTAGTTTAATGAAGAGACTTATTTGGTATGAGTTTATTTGTGTGTCGTAGGTATATCGAATTACTGTCATCCACAGTTCGCAGTACTTGCTAAAGAAAGTCGAAGGCTAGCAGGTCTTGATACAGCTTCAATCCTTAAGGCCATTAACTGTTGTTCTGAACTTTGGCGGTATGCGCAGATATCCAAGTTAGAACAATCGATTTAATCACTATCTAGAGTTGAAGACGAGTGATGTCAGTCAAAATATCTAGAAAGTGAGATTAAGAGCCGTAAAACTTTAGCCACTGAATATACCAAGGTATTTTCTGAATTCTTTTTTCAAGGAATTATATCAGTTAAATGTTACACATATCTAACCTATCTTCATCGTAATAGTGTTATGATTTTTTTTAACGAACTTACTAAAACCCTTGATATACCAAGTTTTCATGTTTTCAATCTGAGTGTTAACAAGATTGTCACTTTGCTTTTTGAAATTTTTGATGATTTTCGTGAATACATGTATCTTTCCTTTATAGGTCAGTCCCTCATTACTTATAATTCATCTACTATGGGAGGGAAAAAAAAGACGACTACTCATAAACCAAGAGTTAAGGAAAATTCTAAGCCTTCCAGCAGCGACAAGGCCACTAGGTTTTTGGTTGAACAGACTGGAGGTCTAGGGGTACCTTTAACATGTCTTTTGGATACGAAATTACAAAGTGTCATGCTTAATACTGATGAGCTGAAAACGGAAAGTTGTCAGGGGAAGCTAACTGGGTTCGTTCCTATCCTTCAAGACCCAGATGCATCAGGTTTAGACACACAACTTCTAAATATTTTCAGACGTCTGGAAAAGCGCGATTCGGTTACCAAACAAAAGGCATTGCGTGAATTCTATGAACTTCTCAAACCCGAGTCAAATAAATCTGAATGCATTTCTGTGAGTACAAGCTCAATTGTGGCTGTTTTACCATTTTGGCCAAGAATTTACCATCGTCTTTCGTTTGATGGGGATAGGAAAGTTCGTGAACTCGTTCAAACAACTATGCATGCACTTGCATCTCGTGTTGGCAAGGATTTAGGTCCATACCTAAAGCAGGTAAATGTTATCATCCATAAGTTTGTACCATTTCAATGTAATCTTTAATGATAATTTATGACCGATAGACGTAGTTTGGTACTAATGATGGTCACTACAGTAATGTATGACCGTTCTAGAACCTTCAATTCTGGCATCTATTTAGGTTACACTTATAGATGTCTTTACATATCCCCGGTTGTCATTTTACGCATTTAATCTTTCCTCTAACTGTGAAGGAATTTCAAATGAAATACGTAGGTAGTTTTTTCTACTTAATCACTTCATGTAACCAAACCTAGTTTAGCATGACACGGGCCTATGTGTATTTAGACATTGTTTCTACTTCAAGTCATTGTATAAAGGT